AAGGGATTATAGTATACTAAACTTTACACATTATATAGGTTTGTTTAACTATTATACATAATGTACATTTTATGGGGGGTGGTTAATGAAAGTGTTTCCAAAACATGACATTAATTTCTTGACGACCTAATATAAAAACTAGCAGAGACCCGCCAAACATTTACGATTAAATTGCAACAGTACTTTTTATAAACAGAATTTCTAGAATAACACCAAGAAATTCTAATTGCAGACACCATAATCTATAAGTCCTCTTGTCTTTAGGCCTAACATTAAATAAGCCATTATTAAGTATGACCTATATTTGATAAAGAGATAAACTAACACTGTAACTTGTGTATGTTTCTTGCTTTAGTTTAGTTAGGCTAAACTTCACTGTAATTAGTGCTGTCAATAAATAAACGTAGACTGTTATTCTACAAGCTAACCTTAGACCTTTTTACAAACTTTGATAAACTTTTAATATGTTGTTACATGTTACGTCTACTAAAGTATAGTTACATCTGTTGAAATGAAGTGTATACACGTGCATATTTAGATAGTAAAGTATGTGAGTATTTTCAATACAGACAAAACTAAGTATTATTGTAATAAATTAGAGGATTAACTACTGGAATATTTTGTGTGTTTACACCCACTTCTTATCAAGGTATTGTAACAAGAATTAATTTCCAACTAGTGAAAACCCACAATAAATGTAAAAAACTGTGAGAAATATTAACTTTAGAGAAACTAGTTTCAACACATTTGTGTGTCCTCTTCAATCTCCTGTTGTCTTCTGAAGATAAAGTGAGACTGAAAAGGGCATGAATGTGTTGAAACTAGTTTCTCCAATATCAAGACTTCTGATATTTTTTGTCCATTTACTGAGGTTTTTCACTAACTGTTACACTGTTAATATTGTGTTCTTTTATTACAAATTTTCATCTTTTATTCCACCTAGGGGTTGATAGCCATCACACTAAGCAAGGGAAGCAAAAATGATGGTTGGATTCCAGTAAACAAAAACCTCTGGTCTATTTCATACATCTTTGCCACAGGAGCAATGGCCTTTTTATTGCTCTCCATATGTTACTTTGTAATTGATGTAAAGAGGTGGTGGACTGGAGCACCTTTTTACTTTTCTGGTGAGTACAGTGGCACAAAACATGTTTTTATTATGTATGGTTTGATCCTGTATTGAAGGTGAGTTCTCGGCTGCACAGAAAATTATGGAAAAAACAGAATCCAATTGAAAGAATCTCTCTAGTCACTGCTTTCTGCTCTTGAATCTTTGTAAGTTGTTCTCTTCCTCATTTCTTTTGTTGTTTTAATTTTACCGACCAGGATTTGTAAAAGGGAAAAATCAAGCTCTTCAACTGGAACCTACAGTTGTATAGCTTATCGCTCCCACAACTGGAACCTACAGTTGTATAGCTTGTCGTTCCCACAACTGGAACCTACAGTTGTATAGCTTATCGCTCCCACAACTGGAACCTACAGTTGTATAGCTTATCGTTCCCACG